ACGGAAAACTGATTGGTGGTGAAGGAGAGGAGAATGAGTGAAGTGGTCTTTAGAAATCCGGAAAGGATCCCTAGCTTTGCAAGGCTATCGGCCGTTCGCTTCCTTGTGGTTGGTGCACTGAGTTGTGTGATGGCCGTAAGGTGACCTGCTAGCTTGTCTGCCAGATGCTGAAAATCACCCCAGAGGTGTTTTCCAGTCTGGGCTCTGAGGTGGGCCTGTCCTCCCTCTTCCAGTCACTGTCTTCCTGCAGATGTGGGGAGGGGCCTGGTGTCACTCCCTCCCCTGAGTTTCTTGTCTGGGCCTTTTTTTTTTCTTTATTTCTCCTCCAGCTTTGCTGCTCTTCCCCAAAGAGAAGCTTTATTTCTTTTAAACTCCTGGCCTGGTTTTTAGTCTTGATTCAGCCCCGTTTGCCTCTGTACGGCTCTGGTTTGCAGTTGGAAGACCTGGGCAGGCCTTCCTTTGGGTGGGCCATGTGAGAGCCTGACTGTGAGGTTTCCTTTCCTGGACCACACCTGCCCCATCGATTTCGCATGATAGTGGTGAGAGTCAAATCAAATAAATTCATGAAAGTGCCTTTTATTGTGCAAAGCCTGGCATCAATGGGCATTACGAATACCTCCAGCCTTTCCATGTGGCGCTGTCCGTTTCCTGCTTTCATGCCAGCGTCAGCTTTGAACCATGCTGTCCTTTCTGTCACTTGTTTCTTTACGTGTGTGCCCTTGGGGGCCTTGGATCTTACTCCCTTTGAATTTCCTAGCACTTGGCACGGCATTAGTTGGCATGGGGAGGGGGGACTCAGCAAACGTTCCAATGAACCGTCAGGAGTGTCTGTCTAAAGGAAGTTTGTGGTTGTAGTCTTTTTTTTTTTTTTCTGAGCAAAGATTTCCTGATAAATGCTATGCTCTTGAAGTTAGCCTTTTTAAAATCAGGCTTTTGATACTCTGTTGTGTTCCTTCTCACAGGCACAGGATGCTGAATTCCAGTGCCTGTGGTTGCCATCCCCAAAAGCTATGTTCACTCTATAAATACTCTTCTGACGAATCCTTTTAAAAGGATAAATCAAGAAATGATTCTAGATTTTGAATTAATGATATAAAATATTCGATACTCTGTTTATTAACTTAACAAATAGAGAGGGGTCTCAAAAAAGTTCACGGGAAATATTTACTATGAAAAAGCTATATATGACTTAAAATTTTTTTTCAGCTTATCTCTTATGTTCATTTTCCTATGAAGTTCTGCAAGTACCTGAATATGTACTGAGTATCTTTTATGTCCCAAGCTACAGATGCCAGGATATATCCCTGAGCAAAGTGAATAAAATGGGATGATTTCAACTCTCAAGTGCAGTTAGGACTCCAGCCCAGTGAGGAGCCCACCGCATGTTAAATATACTGGGTGTGTTACAGCTGCTGTGCTCCCGGCTTCACTGTGTATCCACTCGTCTGGTCACTGAGTAACTTCAGCTCAGCACATTCCTGTAGGCCTTCTGCACGGGAACTGTTGTAAGTGGTGTGGGTCGTGGCTGGCTCCGCGAGGAGGAGGTGGCTATGATCTAGACCTTTGCCTTTTTTTTTTTTAAGATTTTATTTATTTATTTATTTGAGAGGTAGAATTGCAGAGAGAAGGAGAGATAGGTAGAAAGGTCTTCTATCCACTGGTTCACTCCCAGATGGCTGCAATAGCTAGAGCTGGGCCGATCTGAAACCAGGAGCCAGGACTTTCTTCCGGGTCTCCCATGCAGGTTCAGGGGCCCAAGGACTTGGGCCATCTTCTACTGCTTTCCCAGGCCACAGCAGAGAGCTGGATTGGAAGAGGAGCAGCCAGGACTCAAACTAGCTCCCGTATGATGCGGACGCCACAGGGGTAGGCTTAGCTCACTGCAGCACAGCGCTGTCCCCTGGATCTTTGACTTTATGAGAGCACTTCAGCATATCTGAGGGCTCCTCCAACTTGATGAGGCCCCTGTCTGTTTAGGTTGCTGATATTTGAGTGTCTCTGTGGGAGCAAGGGAGGGAGAGGCGGGTGAGCAGTTGTGCACCCAGTCACTGTTCTGTGCCATCTTGCTGCGTCAGCGCGGCCACATCCTCCACGTGAGGGAAGCGGCTTGCTCGTGTATGGCATTCTGTGTCTGCGCTGCAGAGCCCACTGAGGATGAAGGGTGAAGGCACGTGAGGCACTCGGGGATTTGTGTGAGGAGGTGTGTGTGATCCTAGTTCTGAGGGCAGACGGAACCAGTTGCCTGAAGTGGGTTGGGGGGGGGACAGCATCCCTGAGGGCCCCACGTGGAAGAAGCTTTGGGGAAGCTTGGGGAACGGACAGAGGTGGCAGTGGCTAGATAGCACGTAGGAGGTCAGTCTAGAGTGCTGTGTGCAGTGGAGATGTCGAAGGGACCGCCGCCGTGTTAGTTTGGGCTTTAAGTACTACCGGAGCCCTGTCAGAGGGTTTGAGCAGGGAGTAATCTGATTTGATTGGTGTTATTAAGTTTTCATCTTGGCTGCTGTGGGGAATGGAGGGAGAATAGAAGCAGAGAGCCCAGGCTGTGGTGGAGCCCTGGTGAGGATGCAGGGTGATGTAGAGCTGAGGAGGGCAAAAGCAGCCTGGGGCTGGAACGGTGTGGGCTGGGCACCATCGGGAACGAGTGATTTGCTGGACGTGAGCAGTGATGCAGCAAGCCTGGGGCAGCTGGGTGGATGGGGTGCCACCTAGCGAAGTGGGGAAACCTGAGGGAGGAATGGGATTTGAGAGGGAGAGCACTACTTCCCTTTGGGCATGTTTAATTCGAGAGGCCTTTTAGACATGCACATGTCAAAATCTGACTGGCAGCAGGCAGTGAGGGTAGAGCTGGCTGTGGGAGTCAGGGCAACAGACAGAGATCAGGAGACCCCAGCAGAGAGATGGAGTTCTTCTGATAGACCCAAGGATTTGAGAGTTAGGTCAGTTCTTCCCTGTGTGCATACAATCTCATGATTTATACATTATTATTATTTTATAATTGCATGTTGTAGGTGTTTCTTTTATTCAGATCCTTCAAGAAAATATTAGGGGGGTCTTCAAAAGGTTCATGGAAAATGTATATTATGAACAAACATTTTCTGGCTTTCCAAATTTTTTTGTGCCAAAATAAATTGATCTTTTAATTCCATTTTCCACGAAGTTTTGAAGTACCCTCGTGTATCTAACAGAGAAGACAGATCTTTCAATCAGAATTAAGTCAGGAATACAAACAGGGTGCATCTAGGAAGTAAGTAAATTATGGTGTGTTCTGGGGGAGGTGGAGCATAGGGTGATGGCACACAGCAGAGACCCGGGCCCAGTCTGGAGTCAGGGTGGGTAGGGACCCTGGGTGAAGAGGGCCTCAGGCAGAGGGAATAGTTAGTGGCAGGTAAGCTGGCAGTTTATGTTGGACTCACAATGTGCAAAACCTTTCTTGGCACTGGCAAATTCTGCGTAAGACACTCAAGGATTCCTTGGCAAGGTTGTCTGGCGCTGAAGTATTACAGTGCTCTTGTGGGTTGGCTATATTATTTCACTGCTACTTGTTTCACACAGGTTAATTTGTTAGTGGGAATTTCCACTGCTCTGTGCTTAGTTTTACTTTGGTGCAGTAAATTGGCAGTTTGCATGACTTCATAACAGCTCATGTGTATTATTTCAGTGAACCAGGGATGCCTTACTGCATTAAAGGCCCTTATCAAGTTACTGGAGGGAAATTCAGATTCATCTGCATGTAGTTAATTTTATAGAATTTGTAATTGTTATGTTCATACACACACACACGATATTTATTAGTACTGCTAAAACAATGGATGCCATTTTCTTACAGATCAAATAGCAACACATTTTTTTCTTGAGTAATGCTTGTAGAATTCCTTTTTTAAGACATATTTTTATTTATTTGAAAGGTAGAATTACAGAGAGAGAGAGTCTTCTATCTACTGGTTCACTCTCCAAATGACCGCAACGGCCAGAGCTGAGCTAATGGGAAGCTGGGAGCCAGGAGCTTCTCCTGGGTCTCCAACGTGGGTGCAGGGGCCTAAGTACTAGGCCATCTTCTACTGCTTTCCCAGGCCATGGCAAAAAGCTGGATTGGAAAATGAGCAGCTGGGACTGGAACTGGCACCCATGTGGGATGTTGGCACTGCAGGCTGGGGCTTTATCCTGCTGCACCACAGCGCCAGCCTCTTGTAGAATTCTAAGGAAGATTATTAGTGCATTCTCCCTGAGCATTAGCTCCTTAATCAGGACCCTGTAAATGGCACAAACAGCTTTTTTGCCAAGGAAAATGTACAAAAGTGTGTTGACAGTAGACTACCACCTGGGTCCTCAGAGTTCTGAGGTTTTGTCCAGGCCATCTGGGGCCTTTAGGAGAAGCAGCTGTGTAGTTACTCAGCCACAGCAGGCCTGAGTTCCCTGCACCACTTGTCCATCTACCCTGGTTTTAGTGAAACCGTCTGGTACACCAGGGACAACTCCAGGGACACACGGCATGTCCCATGGTGTCCAAACAAGCATGAGGGCTGGTCATCTGGAGCTGGAAGATAGGCAGCACCTGTGGGCCCATGTGGAAGGGGGTGTGGGTGTGGTTGGGGGGAGGTGGCTGTTGGCAGGCAGGGTGGAGGGAGGAGAGTGCGGGTGGGACCTTGACTGGCACAGTTGTTTCCTGGGGTACAAACCGGTTCCTTCTCACAGCCTGTATCAAAAGCTGACTCCTGCAGGAACCTTCTGTCCGGTCTGTCAGTGCTCTGACCCTGAACTGGCCCTGTAGTCTCCTGCAATGTCTGTGGAGGTTGGCGTCCCAGGTGTAATTCAGAACTCTCTGAGGTGGAGAATCAACAAACAGGAATGCTGGTTTTTTTCTGCCTTATAAGTGAATAAAACTGGTTCCACTTTCCTTCATTCCTAAAAAAAAAAAAACAAACAAACAAAAAAAAAAAAACTTTCAGAATTCTGATAGTTTTAAGAATATTTTTTAATAAATGGAAACTTTTTCTTTTCAGATAATGTGGATGCAGGTGATCTTAAGCAGTTTTTTGAGACCAACTATTCTCAGATATATTTCATCTTCTATGAAAATTTTATAACACTGGAAAATAGTTTGAAATTAAAAGGTAAGCATTTCTATAATTTTTTTTTTTTAGTATTCAGGAAAGTTTAGACGTTGAATGTATCATGCGCCACAAATTCTACGCCTTAAGCTTTCTTTCTTGTTAAGTCTTCAGCAAAGCTGTGAAGTCACAGTGGGCTGGTTGACATCTGTGTTCCCCTTGAACTTTCACTTACACAGGTGCCAACGGAACGGAAAATGGAAGGGACCTGCAGAAGGCATGAGTTTCAGAGGAATCGCTTACTTTAAAAAGAAAGAAAAGTAGTACATGCACACTGTGAAAAGATCCATATTCCACTAAAGGGTGTGAAATGAAAGTGAAGTGTCTGCTTTGCCCAGACCTCAGGCCTGCTCTGCAGCAGCAGCCACTTTGAAAGATACCCTGTGTCTCTTTTCCATTTGGCTTAGTCATGTATGTGTTTATGTATGAGGATACATCAGAGAGTTCATGAGAATATGGAGTTTGAAGACAAGTTTATTTTGGTGCAAAAAATTTGAAATCCATATGTATAATGCTCACAGAAAATATGCGTTATCAAAAAACTGCATGGATTTAAAAAGTTTTTGCAACAAAATAGACTTATCTTTAAATTCTATTTTTCTGCAGACTTTTTGAAGTGCTCTCATTTTTTTTTAAAAGATTTTATTTATTTATTTGAGAGGCAGAGTTATAGACAGTGAGAGGGAGAGACAGAGAGAAAGGTCTTCCATCCGTTGGTTCACTCCCCAAATGGCCACAATGGCCAGAGTTTTGCTGATCTGAAGCCAGGAGCCAGGTGCTTCCTCCTGGTCTCCCATGTGGGTGCAGGGGCCCAAGGACTTGGGCCATCTTCCACTGCTCTCCCAGGCTACAGCAGAGAGCCAGATTGGAAGAGGAGCAGCCGGGACTACAACGGGCGCCCATATGGGATGCTGGCACCACAGGCAGAGGATTAACCTACTGTGCCACCGCACCGGCCCCGAAGTGCTCTCATATATTTATGGTTAATTCCCATGAATAGAATATCCTTTGAAAATGAGAACAAGGCCATATTGCATATGCTGCTCTGTATTTAGGGGCAGGATGCGGTAGTCTGTGGAGCCAGTCTGGGTTTGGGTCCTGGCCCCCGACTCTAGCTCTGACTTGGCTCCCTCCTGTCAGCATTAAACAGTTAACAGGAGTCCTAGGATTTTGCGACATTTTGGCACAGAGCATGTGATCAGTAAGCCTTTGCTGCTGTCACATCTTCTTTTGTTTTCTGTGTCATCTGCTTGAGAAATCGTTCCCTGTTAGTACGTATATTTCTTCTTCAGTTTTAAGCAATCACATAGTACTGCATAGGATGGAAATGTCAGAGGTCTGAAGAGTTGACTTCTGAGTGCCTGGGTCAGGGTCACAGAGCTTTCAGGCTGGAGGGGGTCAAGAGACTGTTGTCCACAGCCCGCATTTCAGAGCTGAAAAAGGTTGCATACTGACCTAAGGTCCTGCAGGTTACTTAATTAGTTGCATGGTCAGAATTGCCAGCATGTCTCTTGATGTTCGGTCAGAGCTCCTTCTTTTGTTCCAGTGTTTCTCAAACTGTGGTTCTAGAAGCAGCAGCGTGGCTGTCGCTGGTGAACTCATGAAGCTTCCTGATTGAGAAACTCTCTGGATGGAAGTCAGCAGTCTGTGTCTTAGCAAACCCTCCAGAGGATACAGTCTGCCCTTGTGTTTGAGAATTATGGTTCTAGTTCATGATGCCCCCTCTTAAAAATAATACTGATTCTAGATGAATAGACAGACATTGAAACACCATCTCTGTAGCCAGCCCCCTGTGTTGCTCACCTACACAGGAGAGGGTCAGTACTTTAGCCAAGTGCTTAGTATCCTGGACCAGCTCCAGTGCTGGTGCTTCTCAGGGGCCTTTAGCTCAGGCAGCTCTGTCTCTCTTCTGCTTAACCCTTCTTGTGCTCACCCATCCAGTATGTGAATGATAAGTGTGCAAGGCACTCTGTTACGTTTCTATGAAGAATCCAGAAATATATCAGATATATATGTGAACATGCTTTACAGGGAAGGGAGCAGGTCTGTGGCCTGGCCTGAGAATCAGCAGTAAGTTTGAAAATCAGATGTGCTGTGGGAGAGATACAGACACCATTTTGTGGTTGATGGGAGGGAGAAGTGGCTTCCTGTTGAGTGATGAATGACGCATTGGGGAAGAGGTGGCTTTGTGGAGAGACACTGAAAGAGATGTGGGACTTCAAATGGTGGAGAACAGCACTGTAGATGGAGGATAGAACCTAAGCCAAGGCCGGGAGGCTGTTCGTAGGACATGTGTGGGAAATACGTTTTTTTTTCCTTACAGCATAAGGGATGTTAAAGAGATTTGTAGGAAATGAGATTATGCTGCAAGGAGCTTTGAATTCTAGACTAAGGAGTTTGGACTTCATCCTTTAGATGGGAACACTTGAAACTATTTGCTACTAAGTCATATATCTTACAAAAGGTAGGAAGGCCAATGAGGGGAGACCTGAGCTGTCCATATGAGAGCTGCTTGCCCATGAGACAGGAGAGCTGGTGATGCCTGATCTGGGAGGTGGTAGTTAAGGGCACAGAAAGTTCTATGTCTCAGTGGGTGCACCATTCTTGAGAATTGAATGTAAGGCAAAGAGAGAAGTCAAGATGCTTCTAGGATGTTGAGTCTAATTTGTGAAGTGCCATTGCAGCAGTTGGAACCCTGGAGGGCAGCCAGGTTTGGGAAGTAAGAGGCTCTCTGTGGTATACCCAGGTGCAGGTATTAGCTGGGCAGTAAAAATAGAAGGGACTGGAGCTTGAGAGGGGAGAGGTGAAATGACACTATTACCAAAGGGGAAGGTTTTATATATATTTATGCATACACACACAGAGATATAGGAACATGTTTATGTATATATTTATTTGAAAAACAGAGTGACAGTGAGATAAAGATGGAGAGTGCGCGTGCACACACACATACACACAAGAGAGAGAGAGAGAGAGAGATCTTCCATTTGCTGGTTCACCCCCAAATGCCCACAGTAGCATGAGCTGGCTTAGGCTGATGCCAGGAGCTAGGAGTTCCATCCTGATCTCCCATGTGGGTGGCAAGGAGCCAAGTACTTGGGCCATCATTTTTTGCCTCCTGGATGCGTTAGCAGGAAGCTGGATCCGAAGTGGAGTGGGTTGCAATCCCAGGCACTCTCATATGGGATGTGGGCTGAACCACAACAGCTGTCCCAGGAAGTATATTAAAGAAAGAAAGTGATGGTCAGACATGGGGCTAATTCCTTCCTTTACTGGGCAGAGAAAGAGGAAAGAGATGCAGTAGTAGAAGGGGTGCCAGGAAGTGTTTTTGTCATAGAAGCTCAGGGCAGTGAGAGTTCAAGATCAAGTCATGAAAGACCAGCAGTGAGAGCTGGTCTCATCAGGAAGGAAAGGAGCCACAGGACCAGAAAGTGAGAGCTCTGGGAAAGTTCTAGATAAGAGAGGTCAGAAGCCAGACAATGGGCCCATGGGCCCACGAAGGCCAGCAGAGAGAGCACCCTTTTAGGGAGCTCCATGTGACGACAGAGGGTCTGTCTCCAGCTGAGCACTGGCCAACCTAGGAGAGGATCAGCCAGACGGGGTAATGACTGATGGTACAGGTGTTGCTGCTGAGTTGAGACAAGGTCAGGTGAAAAGAAGAGATACGGAAAGGAGTGTTCAAGGTGACCTCTGCAGGTAAAGAGGAAAAGGGAAGAGGATTGAGTGTAGATAAGCAGACGTTTTGTGGTAGAGAGGAAAAACAGGAGGACTTCCTGTTGAATGCTCTGATTGCTCCTATAAAACAGAGACAGATGTCAAGCAGGGAGGGAAGTGGTTTGGGTGAGGTACTGTGGAGGGCTCTGGCATAGAGCAGATGGTTTGGAGCCTCATGGAATGTTCCAGGCTGTAGCAGGCCACCAAGCCATGCATGGCTTCTACCCAGGGTGCTAATGCAGTATTTTCTTTAATGGATTGCTCAGTTTCCACCTATGACTTACAACTTGGAATAAATTTTGAATTTAATTTTTTTTTTTTGCTAAAGTGATAGATATTTAAAATAAGAAAAAATCTCGATATTTATCTGGCATCCTAGCCTTGCTCCAGTTCATTTACTTTTCACAGGTGTGTGGAGGAGAAAAGCGTGGAATTGTGTGCAATCCGGATAGCAAAGAAAAAACTGAAGCTCCAGATCTTAACAGAAAGCCCTCTTTCGCCTGTTTTCTCTTTCTGCCGGCTTCCCTCTTTTCCCTGTTCCTCTGTCAGTCCTTTTTAAAAAACGAGGCCCTGCTCAAGGCTGTATCAGTTAGCTTGTGCTGCCTAACAGACCGCCCCAAAACCGAATGCCTTAAAACAACCATTTAGTTTAGGATTTTCTGGGTCTTCAGGCAGCTCTGGTTTAGACCGGCTCATGCCCCTGTGGTCAGCTGGTGGTAAATGCCCTCCTTCACATGTCTTGTGGTCATCAAGCTGTGGACTTCAAAACCTTATCCCTCTTCCGTGTGGTCTCTTGTTCTCCATCTAGCAGGCTTGTTCTCCACCCGCTGCTCCAAGTCCCAGGTAGCAAGTGTGTAAGGCTTTTCAAGCTTGTGCTTGCCTCACATTTATTTGCTAATGTCACCTGGCCATAGTGAGTTGAAGCTATCCCAGATTCAAAGCATAGAGACATAGATGTGTTTTGGTGGGAGAATGAAGAACTGATCATTTTATTATCCCAGGATAATAAATTTTAAAAATTTAAATTTTAAAAAATATTCAGCCTTCCAGATATATTCAGGCTAACTCCTTGGAGTTGCAGGCTCTCTCTTCAAAATACGCCTGTCGGCTTCTCCTTGTCTGTACCAGTAACCCTGGAGTATTGCAGTAGTCTCAGAAATGGTCTCCCTGCTTCCACACCCAAGAACAGCTGCAGCTGTGCTTCAAAAATATGAGCCAAATCTTACTTCTCTTGCTCCAGCCTCTCACATGGCCTTTCATTCCCAGGGTTCTAAACAGTGGCTGCCTTCCTTTCCTACCTTCTCTTCAACCGCAGCTGCTACACTGTCCCCCACCCCTTCGTCAATGGCCCCAGCCTTCAGGGCCTCTGGGTGTTTCCTCCAGGTGAAGTATGTCAGCCCCGGGGCTTTGCCCACTCCCTCTGCCTGGTACCTGTCTCCCCCAAATTTCCACATGACTTGCTTTCTTTCCTGTCAGATCTCTGCTCAGATGTTAGCTTATCAGCAAGGTGTTCCCTGAAGTCCTTGTCAAAACTGTGCACCACCCTTTTTTAGCTTCCCCATCTGTCCTCACTCTTGGTTTTTATTGCTTATTTGTAGAATACCTCCTCTTGCCAGAATATAAACTTCTTCAGAGCAGGGCTTGTTGTGGCTTTTGTTCACTGCTGTGTCCTTAGGACCTGACTTAGACACATTCTTCAGTGCTTCTCCATGAAGGAATGAATCTGCTTGCAGAGCAATGGCAATTCATGTGGCTCAGGGGCCTGAAACTTACAGCTCACTGCCTGACTTTATAAATAAAGTTTTGTTTATTTATTTTTGAAGATTTATTTATTTCTTTATTTGAATGCAAAGTGATGGGGGATGGGAGGAGGGAAGGAGGAAGGGGGAGAGAGAGAGAGAAAAAGAGAGAGATCGTCCAGCCACTAGTTCCCTCCCTAAATGGCTGCAATGGCTGGGGCTGGTCCAGGCTGAAGCCAGGAGCCAGGACCTCCATCCAGATCTCCCACATGGGTGCAGGGACCCAAGCATTTGGGCCATCTTCCACTGCCTTCCCGGGCACACAAACAGGGAGCTGGATGGGAAGCAGAGCAGCTGTGACTCAAACTGGTGCTCTGATATGGATGCTGGCATGGCAAATAGCAGCTTAACCCACTGTGTGGCAGTGCTGGCCCGATTTATTTATTTGAAAGGCAGAGTTGTGGGGCGGGGAGGAGATATCTTCCATCTGCTGGTTTCCTCCCCAAATGGCCACAACATCTAAGGCTAGATCAGTCCAAGTCTAGGAACCAGGAGCTCCATTCCAGATCTCCCACATGGGTGGCAAGGGCCCAGGCACTTTGAACCATCTTCCATTGCCTTCTCAGCCTCATTAGCAGGTAGCTGTATCTTAAATGGAGCAGCTAGGACTCAAACTGGCACTCTAATATAGGATGTGGGTGTCACATGCTGCAGCTTTAACCTGCTATACCACATGTCATCCCCAATAAAGTTTTATTGAACACAGCCTTACCTATTCACAAATGAATTGTCTGTGACGATTTTTGTATTATAAATAGCAGATTCAAGTGGTTACAAGAAAGATCTGAAAACTCCTCAAATGTTTATTATGTAGTCCTTTATAGAAAAGCTCTACTGGCTGCTAAGTCAGCTGATGTAAACCAAGCCCTTAGCACCCTGCCTGGTACATGGAGAGTGGACTGGTGCTGCAGGTGTTGAGTTGTTGTTATTGTTGTTGTTACCAGAAGGGAGTGTGCAGTTTCCCAAGGAAATGCTACTTGGGATGCTACAGTTACTACTTGTTCTTTGCCCCTGTCTAGGCCAAGGTACAACTCCTTGTTTTTGCTGTACATTCTGCCATAATTTGAATTTATAAGTAAATCCTTGGGAAATGAATAGATTACCTGCCATAGGTTGGTAACAACTTGGGAAACATGGAACATTTGTTTAAATAGCTAGCAAGGGGTAGCTCTGCAAGATGTGGGCTTAGGCAGACTGGCCATGTTGTCCTATTGTGTGCACTATATGGCTTCTAGGTATTTTTTAGTTTAATGTATTTATGTTGAGGCTTAAATGTTTTAAAATGCCTTTAAACATAATCTCTAATATCCTAAATTTTAAACATTGTCATAATACCTGCATATATTTTCTTATGTTCCAGGGAATAATAAATCCCAAAGGGAGGAGCTGGACTCCATCCTCTTTCTTTTTGAAGTAAGTTTTTATTAAATCTTTCAGTTTTTAAAGATGATTATTGAAAATAAGGTATTTTAGGTTTTCAATTGTATTTCAAGTCAGGTAAAGGTGGCTGTTGATGGACATGTATCCTCCTCCCCTTCCTACCTCTCTCCCCTCCCCTTCACTCCTTCCTTCCCTGTTAATAAAGTTGCAAAGAATGTTGTGATTTTCTTTTTGTTGTTGTTGTTGTTGAAAAGTGGGGAGAATTTCTCCTAGATGTAAAATTACTAGATAGAAGAGTACAAATACGCACATTTTAAATGCTAGTAGATATTACTAGATTGCTTACTGTAAAGATCATATAAGTCTTATATAAATTTCCTGTGTTGTAGCTAACACTGAAGATAATTTATTTGTCTTTTTCAGATTTGCAAATCTGACATGCAGAACTCATTGTTTCTAATATATATTTTTCTGGCTACTAGAGAGGGGCCGTGTTCTTGTCTCTGTGCTTGGCATATATTCTTTTTAAAGTTGAAACTGTTGGGATGCAGTTTTTGCTCTATTAAGCTTAAAGTCTTTCTTGCCCAAATATATTAGACTGGTGGCCACATTTCGGATACCTGGAGAACTACACTCAGGAATGAATTATAAACTTTGCAAGTTAATTTTCTAGAAATGATCTTCGTTTCCTAGAAATCATTACTGGTTTGAAGAGATGTGTGCTTAGGTAAGCGTGAGAGGCTAAACCTTTATGGCTGGAAAGAAAAGGCCTGATGTGCACTCACTGCAGAGAAAGCTCCCCCTGAGTATTTGGTGAGGGTCTCTCTAGGTTTAAGGGAGAAAACAAGTATGAGAAACCTCTCGCCCAGGACGTGGCCCGTGGCGGGCACTCCATCACCTTGGCTCCCCTTTCCTAACCCCGTATTTCATGGTGCTCATTGTGTTTCCTGTGCCGCTACCCCGGGAATGAAACCTGTGCAGAGGAATTATTATTTAAAGGCCCAGATACTCCTATGTATCTGCTGACCACAGTTTGTACTACTCCATTCACTTAGATTGTGTTAGTTATATAATGGTTGATGCATTTGCCAAAGTATCTAATGTACATGGCTGTTATGAAACAGAGTAATAAAGCCCGCACTCCTGACATTTTCCCCCTGCCCATTTGAAGAACTAGAATTTACTTAGGTGCTGTTCTTTGATGCCATCCTTTCTTACCCCTGGCCCCTGTGTTCTTATCATTCTCCTTGTAAAAAAACAGTGGTTCGGCCATTTGCATTTTTATCCTTAAATAATTCATTATGTAGTTTTATGTGGTTTCCAGTGTAACAGAAATGATCTCATATAGTAATAGTCATCTGTGACTTGCTTTTTTACTCAGTATTCCTAAGATTCATCCATTTTTTAAAAAGATTTTTATTGATTTATTTGAAAGTCAGGGTTACCGAGAGAGAAAGGAGACAGCGAGAGATTTCCATCCGCTGGTTCACTCCCTAAATGGCTACAGTGGCCAGAGCTGGGCCAGGCTGAAGTCAAGAGGCAGGAACTTCTGGTCTTTCATGTGGGTGCAGCAGGGGCCCAAGCACTTGGACCATCTTCCGCTGCTTTCCTAGGCCATAGCAGGGAGCTGGACTGGAAGTGGAGCAGCTGGGACTCTAACTGGTGCCCATATGAAATGCTGGTGCTGCAGGTGGCGGCTCCCAACCATGTTTTTAAATTTAGCTCTAATGTTTTCACTCCCACTGCTGGATTAAATGAATATAATTATTTATTTAGTTCCTACATTTTGTTTATAGTTTTTTTTTTTTTTTTGGTTTGTTTGCTTGGTAAAGTGTCAGATTGTTTATGAATAATGAGTGGACAGGCTTACTAGTCAGTCTGTTCTTGTCTTATTACTCTTTCTCAGCCCTCCAGTACATTGTAAATAAAAGGAATAAAACTGGCCATTCTGTTACTCATCTAAATAGAGCTTTGTTAATATATCACCATTAAGAATGTCTTTATAAAATTTTTGCAAGTAGTCTATCAAATTAAATTAAAGATGTTGCTATTCCCAGTTTGGTAAGATTTACCAAAAAAAAAGTCATATATGAATTTTGAAGTTTTCAAATTTTTTTCTGCAGTGATTGGGATCATCTTATGAGTGTTAAGATAGTAAATTACAATTCTAGATTTTTCAATGAGCAAATATTTTGTTTGCAGTTTTGAATTTATGATTTTAGATTCACAACTGAGGGAGGTTGGCTAAAATTTCCCCTCGCAGTATTTTTAAAAATTATATATTTGCAAGGCAGAGTTACAGTGAGACAGAGAGAGAGAGAGAGAGAGACAGACAGACAGACAGACAGACCAAGAGAGAACTCCCATCTGCTGGCTCACTCCTGAATGCCCGCAACAGCCAGTGCTGGGCCAGTCTGAAGCCAGGAGATGGGAACTCCATCTAGATCTCCCATGTGAGTGATAGGGTCCCAACTACTTGAGGCATCACTGCCTGGGGTGCATATTAATAAGACACTGGAATCAGGAGCAGAGTTAGGACTTGATCCTAGGCACTCAGATATGGGATGTCCGTCTTAATGAGCTTTTTAAAAATCACTAGGCCAAATACCCACCCCTTATATTATTTATGATTGGTCCCATTACATAAAGGTTGTAGAACGTATTTTCAAGTGTTTCTCCTTTTCTATTACATAAAACAGTTTCTCTAAGATTGGACTGATCTGTTGCTGGACTATTGTTAAGTCTTTCCTATTTAAAAAAAATCCTGAAACTTTTTTTTTTTTTGGTCTATAGGAAGTTTTTTTTGTTGTTGTTGTTGTTTTGGTTTTTTTTTTTTTTTGGACAGGCAGAGTGGACAGTGAGAGAGAGGAGAGAGAAAGGTCTTCCTTTGCTGTTGGTTCACTCTCCAATGGCTACCGCGGCCGGCGCGCTGTGGCTGGCGCACCGCGCTGATCCAAAGGCAGGAGCCAGGTGCTTATCCTGGTCTCCCATGCAGGTGCAGGGCCCAAGCACTTGGGCCATCCTCCACTGCACTCCTTGGCCACAGCAGAGAACTGGCCTGGAAGAGGGGCAACCAGGACAGAATCCAGCGCCCCGATGGGGACTAGAACCCTGTGTGCCGGTGCCGCAGGCGGAGGATTAGCCTATTGAGCCACGGTCTGTAGGAAGATTTTAACCACTCATTCAGATTTTTTAATAGTTTTAGAATTATTCAGGCCATCTGTTTTTCTTGATTCTGGTTAGGTAGTTGTATTTTTTTCTAAGAATTTGAAGCATTCTCACAATTTGTTCTTACCATCAGAGTTTTAAATCTCATGGGCACAAAGAAGCTTCTCTTCTCTGGAGGCTCAGGTCATGACCCTGTAAGTTTCATCTGCCTTAAGTCGCTCTTCAGCGCCTTCACACCTTGTTATTGATGTTAGGTATATTATTATTTGTGTTGTGTGTTTTCTCTCTGCTAGTTGCCATTGTAACAATATTAAGCTCTGTATTCAGGATAATCGTTTCTTTACATGTATTTTTTAAGGTCTTTTTCTTAGTCTTTGAGGACTTGGGCCATCTTCTATTGCTTTCCCAGGCCATAGCAGAGAGCTAGATTGGAAGTAGAGCAGCTGGGACTAGAACCGGCACCCATATGGGATGCTGGTGCTGTGGGCTGGGGCTTTAATCTGCTGTGCTACAGTGCTGGCCCCTCAATAATCTCTTGATCCTTGCTCATTTGTAGATAGTTTATTTTCTTAGCCACTTACTATATATTTCATATTTTATATCTGATAATTCTATTGTTTCAAGTCTTTAGTTGTCTAAACCTGTTGGTAGTTTCAGTGGCTTCTTTTCTTGCATCTTTTGTTATATACTTTTTTTTTTCCTGGACAAAAACCTCACTCTTCATTTTATCAAAGTTTTTTTTTTTAAAGATTTATTTATTTGAAAGACATAGTAGCCGGCGCCGCGGCTCACTAGACTAATCCTCTGCCTTGCGGCGCCGGCACACAGGGTTCTAGTCCCGGTCGGGACGCCGGATTCTGTCCTGGTTGCCCCTCTTCCAGGCCAGCTCTCTGCTGTGGCCAGGGAGTGCAGTGGAGGATGGCCCAAGTGCTTGGGCCCTGCACCCCGTGGGAGACCAGGAGAAGTACCTGGCTCCTGCCATCGGGTCAGCGCGGTGCGCCGGCCGCAGCGCGCCGGCCGCGGCGGCCATTGGAGGGTGAACCAACGGCAAAGGAAGACCTTTCTCTCTGTCTCTCTCTCTCACTGTCCACTCTGCCTGAAAAAAAAAAAGACATAGTGACACAGAGGTAGACAAAGCGCGATCTCCGTCTGTTGGTTGACCCTCCAGATGAGGACAGCAGCTGCATGTGGGCCAGGCCGAGGCCAGGAGCCAGGACCTCCATCCAGATCTCCCACAAAAGTGGCTCATCACCTGCTGCCTTCCTAAGCAGAGTAGCAGGGAGCTGGATTGAAGCTGGAGTAGCCAGGAGTCAAAGTGGCACTCCCATGTGGGATGCCTGTGTTATAAGCATTGGCTTTAGCTTTCTGTGCCACCACGCTGGCCCTAAAATTGTTTTGATTAACATGTAATTCTTGTGTATCTTTGTTTTCAAATTAATTGAATTAATATTATTTGAAAAACAGGGGGAAAGAGAGAGAAAGAGAAAGAGATGGAGATAGAAATTGATCTCTCATCTACTGGTTTGCTCCCCATTTACCTGCTATAGCCAGGGCTGGGCCAATCTGAAGCCAGGAGCCAGGTACTCAGTCTGGGACTGTGGCAGTGTGGCATAGTGATGTGCCACCACTATGTGGGTGGCAATGACCCAAATACTTGAGTCATCACCTGCTGTCTCCCAGGGTGTGCATTAGCAGAAAGCTGGAATCTGTAGTGAAGCTGAGACTTGAACCCAGGCACTTGTCTGTTATGGGATGTGGGAGTCCCAAGTGGCATCTTAATGGTTGCACTAAATGTCTGTTCCTTGTATATCTTTATGGGACACAGTTCAATATTTCAGCACATGTGTGCAGAGTAAACAGAACAC